AATCGTGTACTCGTGAGACGATGAGAGCCGGTTGCTCACTTACTAGAAGGGGAAGAACTGGCTCCGACATTTTTGTCACGCTGTGAAAGGTCAATACGAGAATTTCACTCGTGCATCGTCTTCACACGAGCTCTATGCATCTCGTGCAACACCGTTCCTCGAGAGAGGAGCCTGTTTCTGGACGCGGTGCCAACGCTCGTTTGCATTTGACCTCTTTTCTCGTTGTGGATACGCGATTCGTTAAATCCTTGTCGATGTTTTTGTATCGTGGCAAAAAACTGATTGCGCTGGTGACACAGAAATCGATATCTAGATTAGTCGACGACTTGAATAATTTTCATTTAACCGATTAATATAAGATTAATTAACCGCTTTAATTATACTTCTAGTTATAATCACTTATCGCTTCTTTATAATTCTTAGTTTGAAAAAGATGACTTTCGAAATCGATCGAGAAACAGGCGTTTATGGAACGAGGTCAAGAAGACTGGTGAATACACTGCAATACAGGATGTCTCACAATTAGTGTAACTCTTGGATGATGGGGTTCGAGATTCTGAACAACTTTTCCCTTTGCAGAAATGAGGTTTGAAGCTTCGTTTTTGAATTATTAAGGAAAAACACGGGACCAATCAGAGCGCGAGACGCGTGCGCAGGCGCAAGAGAGCTCCGCCTAGTGGCTGAACGCGCGAAAACCTCGCGTTCTGATTGGTCCTGTGTTTTTCTTTAATAATTCAAAAACGAAGCTTCAAAGCGAATTTTTGCAAAGGGAAAAGTTGTTCAGAATCTCGAACCCCATCATCCGAGAGTTACACTAGTTGTGAGACACCCTGTATTTGGAAGTTGAGGGTGTGAATATTTAACCGCTTAATCTATCCCATTTTTGCAAAGGGAAATCTTATTCAGAATCAGCTACCTTTAGGGACACTAGTTGTGAGACACCCTGTACAACGTATATGAATCGTGAAATATCGCAGCAACGGTAAGATAAGCAAAACGTTCGCTCTTTCACAGAGAGATTATCGATGCTCGAGCCGTGGCAAAGGTAAACGTTGCACGTGAAAGTCGTGAACCTTCACCTGTAATCCGATTCTTCGCGCATCTGTTCCCCGTTCACCAGATCGGGAAATAAGAAAATATAGAAGCAGCGGGTGTACGAAGATGAATTGCACCGGTTAATCCGCCAGACGTCGCTGGATTAACAACAACAAAAAGTCCCATAGACGTGTAACTGTAGACGATCCTCCGCTAGATTTATGGATACAACCGACAAAAACGGTATACCGCAACAACTGTTGTTAACTTAACTTCGATTCGAAGATACTCTCGAACAAATATTTCCTAATATTCTCTGCACGAAAATGATCATAAAGAAATGAAACCGATCGGTTTAGTTTTACTGGTAAATGTTAGGTAATTGTCCGTCAGATAAATAACCGTTTAATTGCTGATCAGATTATTTACTTCAGTTACCTCCTGTTTAATTGTCTACTTAAGAACTTCTGAATTCTTTATCGGATAATTATCCGTTTGATAATTGCTGAGTATTTACTGAGTAATTATCTGCTTAATAATTACCTGCTGGGTAATTGTCTTATCGATAATTATCTGCTGTGAACTAATGGGTGATTGTTCTTCGGATAATTATCCGTTTAATAATAACCTACTGGGTCTTATGGATAATTGTCTGCTTTTACCTGATGGATAATTATCGAATATTACTGGATAATTGTCTGCTCAATAATTACCTGCTAAATAATCGTCTGACGGGTATCTGATTAATAATTGTCTGCTAAGTAACTGTCTGTTGGATAATTGTGTGACTGGTAGCCTATCCATCTCTACTGCATAATATTCCACATCTGTTTGATACTTCCGCTCGATATTTGTCGTCTCGATAATTACTTGCTAAATAATTGTCTAATAAGTGTCTGCTTAATGTCTGCTACGAAACTATTGAATAATTGTGTGCTTGGTAGCCTATCATTGTCTACTGCATAATACTCCATATCTTAATACTTCCACTCGATATTTGTCCGCTCGATATTTGTCGTCTCGATAATTACTTGCTAAATAATCGTCTAATAAGTGTCTGTTTAATGTCTGCTACGAAACTATTGAATAATTGTGTGCTTGGTAGCCTATCATTGTCTACTGCATAATACTCCATGTCTTAATACTTCCACTCGATATTTGTCCGCTCGATACTTGTCGTCTCGATAATCACTTGCTAAATAATCGTCTAATAAGTGTCTGCTTAATGTCTGCTACGAAACTATTAAATAATTGTGTGCTTGGTAGCCTATCATTGTCTACTGCATAATACTCCATGTCTTAATACTTCCACTCGATATTTGCCCGCTCGATACTTGTCCGCCCGATAACTACTTGCTACATAATTGCCCGTAATAATCACTATTACATTTTAATCACAAAATTCAACAAGTTTTACCTACTAACGCATACTTGTATACACAGGTAAAGTCTTTAATGATTAATGATTCTGCTTTCTCGTTCGCGCGGACAACGTTTATGGATATTTATGCGATTGCAGCCTGTCTCTAGACTCGCTTCGTAACGATGCATCCAGCTCCCTCTTGCTATTCGATACACGTCAGCTCGAGGTTGATCAGGCTGATCGGCCTCTCCGGTTTCCGATTCTGTGTTGCACGACGATGGGAACCGAGATTTCCCTCGCGGCTAACTCGCGCCGCGGCAATCACCGTGCAGAAGCGACGAGTGTGCTCGATCAGCGTGGTTAGATGAACTCACCGGCAAACTAGAGCCCCGACATTTTTTTCACTCGTCGAAGATGCAACAGGTGTTCAGAAGCTAGGGAGAACCCACGCTGTACTGATTGGAAATAACGATGCGTACTCGTTTAGCTGGTGTTTGGAATCATCTAGCATCCATCATTCTTTGTTTATGGCTATCGCTGGGATTATGGGTCCACTATGGATCTTTATTGAAACGATATACAGTATCTACTTTTCTACAGATGTGAATAATTGTTTGCTCGTGCGGAAGGGAATACGTTTTCCGCATTAACGAATCAGATTTTTGTAGCTCGTGACGGGCGAACTATAGTTAATACACGGTTATCCTAGCAAGCGATCCTGGTTGTTCGAGCGGCTTAGCTAACGGTAAAGAGTCGGTACGTCGGTTTAAAAGTTTGAGGGGTACACGCGTGTCGTTGCGGCATGATTTTTCGTTTCACGGTCAGAAGGATAATCCTTCTCTCTGTCACTTCTCATCCGTCTTTCTGTCCCCTCGGCTAATTGAGTTGCTCGGCCCCGGTCAGGGATCTCCGTCACGTTTCTTTTTCTCCACGCTGTCTCTCCTCTTTTCGAAAGTGTCGTTTCCAGAGATACGGTGCCTTCAAATTGGGTTTCGTCATCCCGCCACCTGTAAAAGAGAACACTCGTACCTGTTGCTCCGCCTCCGGTACCTTCTTCCACGAGATATATGAAACGTCCGTGATCGTATAATCCGGCCGCGGAAAATAATCCGACGCTTATACTTTCGGTGCCCGTGGGCGGATTAATTGTTTGTGTTTTAACTTCCATTCACGGATGCCTTTTGTGCCGCGCCACGCCGAGCCGCGCCGGTTATTGTTCGTCGCGGGAAGATTATTCCTTTGGAAAGTCGTTTGAGTTATGACCGAAGATGGCTCTTCTTCTTTCTGCGCGTTTGGGACTCGACGGCACTCCGATAAAACGCGAGGAACGTTCATGACCGCCATTTTAACCGGGAATTTCGCGGACACTCTTTTACTGTTCTATTACTTAAAATTAAAGACTGCTACTACTTAACCTGAGCATTTTATCACCTTCTCACACAGGATGCAATTTTTCAAAATTGTACATACGAAGTTTCAAGTGTGGACTCAACGTGGGCCCAATACAGATAAAACACGAGCAACGTTCATTGCCGGACCGCCATTTTAAGCGGGAATTTCGCGGACACTCTTTTACTGTTCTATTACTTAAAATTAAAGACTGCTACTACTTAACCTGAGCATTTTAGCACCTTCTCACACAGGATGCAATTTTTCAAAATACATATGAAGTTTCGAATGTTAACAATATTAACCCTTGCCATATGATTCATTTGTCAGATGCGTCAAAACTAAGTATTCATAGCTATAATGTTTCTTGCACTATGACTTATTTGCGCCAGCCAGAACTGACTAATTACAGCTGCAATATTAAAACAGACAAAAAAGTTTGAAATGTTATGTCAATATGTTATTATGCAATCGTTGACTATGCAAATTATTGGACTTGAACTCCAAATTGAAGCGTATTAAAAATTCGAGTAAAATTGATCACGGCCGAAGTACGAGTGCGTCACGAGTCAGACTCGTTGAAATAGTTAAAAGTGTTAAACAAACAATAAAAAAGGAAATGTGAATATTTTATATTCAGCGATCTTTGATAATGCAAATTATAGTTGGACTTAAATTTGAAGTTGAGGAGTATTCAAAATTTGAATAAGATTTGTTATATTTGAGCTGTAAGTGCGTCATGAGTCAGACTCGTTAAAATAGTGCAAAGTGTTAAACAAACAATAAAAAATGAAATGTGAATATTTTATATTCAGCGATCTTTGATAATGCAAATTATAGTTGGACTTAAATTTGAAGTTGAGGAATATTCAAAATTTGAGTAAGATTTGTTGCATTTGAGCTGTGAGTGCGTCATGAGTCAGACTCGTTAAAATAGTTCAAAGTGTTAAACAAACAATAAAAAATGAAATGTGAATATTTTATATTCAGCGATCTTTGATAATGCAAATTATAGTTGGGCTTAAATTTGAAGTTGAGGATTATTCAAAATTTGTTATATTTGAGCAGTGAGTGCGTCACGAGTCAGACTCGTCAAAGTCCAGCAAGAAGTTAATTCTCGACCCAAGTTCTCAAGTCTATGAATTTATTAGATGTACCACATACTATCTACTATGAATCTACGTTAAACTAATAATCTTGACAAATGTTACAGCGGTCTGCAAGGAAGGTTGCCACCCCGTGCACGGTCACTGCAACGTGAGCGGCGAGTGCAAGTGTCGACACGGCTGGCGGGGTGAGCTCTGCGACCAGTGCACTCCCTACCCCGGCTGCAAGCACGGTTACTGCAACGGTTCCAGTTGGCAGTGCATCTGCGACACGAATTGGGGCGGAATCCTCTGCGACCAGGATCTGAACTACTGCGGTACTCACGAGCCCTGTCAGAACGGGGGTACCTGCGAGAACACAGCCCCGGATCAGTACAAGTGCACCTGTCCCGAGGGATTCTCGGGACCGACCTGTGAGAAGGTCGACAACCCATGTGCCTCCAACCCCTGCGCCAACGGGGCGACCTGCAGGGAACTCGGGGAGAGCGCTCATTGCGAGTGCGCTGCCGGTTTCACTGGATTATACTGCGCGACCGACATCGACGAGTGCGCCTCGCAACCCTGCCAAAATGGCGGCACTTGCATTGACGGCAAGAACGAGTTCGTGTGCAATTGCCCGCCGGCTTGGCAGGGCGTACTCTGCCAGTTCGATGTGGACGAGTGTGCGCTTAAGGAGTCGCCCTGCAAGAACTCGGTCACCTGCGTTAACCTCGCTGGCGATTACAGGTGAGTTGTCTTTTAATCTGTTAGCTTATGGATATTCATATGTTGTCATACTTCCATGTCACATACTTGGTCCAACTTAGAGGTAGCCCTAGGAAATTTGAGGGAAATCTGTTAGCTCATAGGTGCTCATTATAGTCATACTCCATATCATCAGATATACTTGGTCCAACTTAGAGGTAGTCCTAGGAAATTTGAGGGAAATCTGTTAGCTCATAGATGCTCATTGTTGTCATACTCCATATCATCAGATGTAGTTAGTCCAACTTAGAGGTAGCTCTAGGAAATTTGAGGGAAATCTGTTAGCTCATAGGTGCTCATTGTTGTCATACTCCCATATCATCAGATATAGTTGATCCAACTTAGAGGTAGCCCTAGGAACTTTAAGGGAAATCTGTTAGCTCATAGGTGCTCATTATAGTCATACTCCATATCATCAGATATACTTGGTCCAACTTAGAGGTAGTCCTAGGAAATTTGAGGGAAATCTGTTAGCTCATAGATGCTCATTGTTGTCATACTCCATATCATCAGATGTAGTTGGTCCAACTTAGAGGTAGCCCTAGGAACTTTAAGGGAAATCTGTTAGCTCATAGATGCTCATTGTTGTCATACTCCATATCATCAGATGTAGTTAGTCCAACTTAGAGGCAGCCCTATAAACTTTAAAGAATGTGAACCTCCTTCTTTTGCATTCTATTGTCAATATATTGTCATACTTTGTGGACATGTGATTCTTATGACTTGTCAAAGATCTGCCTGAAATTATATCTTGCTTTTGTATATAACCTAACCAGCTTAAACTTATCTTTCTTTAAACACATCTCAACTAAGTACCAGGCTTTACAAATACCAGGCTTTGCAAATACCAGGCTTGGCAAATACCATGTAACTTCGTAACTAAATACCATGTAACTTATCAACAAAATACTTTGTTGCAGATGTCGTTGCAGAAGCGGCTTCACAGGCAAGAACTGCACAAAGAACATCGACGACTGCGTAGGCCAATGTCAGCACGGTGCCCTGTGCATCGACCTGGTGAACGACTACCACTGCAGCTGCACCGCGGGTTATTCGGGCAAAGATTGCGACGTGGACATCGACGAATGCGCCTCGAAGCCCTGTCAGAACGGCGGCGACTGCCGGGACCTGGTGAACGCTTACGAGTGCGTCTGCCCGGTCGGCTTCACGGGTTATCAGTGCGAGATCGACAGGGATCACTGCAGCCCGAACCCCTGCAGGAACTCCGCGCCTTGCTTCAACACCCAGACCGACTACTATTGTCACTGTCCTGAACAATGGCAGGGGAAGAATTGTTCCGAGCCGGCCTCTCATAACCCGCAGCTCGGCGTCATGGACGAGGAAGCCGGCTGCGGCAGCGAGGGCACGCCCTGCGGGGGCAGGGGCAAGTGCAGCGGCGGCAGATGTATCTGCGATCCTGGCTATACGGGGATGCATTGTCACGAGAACATCAACGACTGTCGGGGCAATCCTTGTTTGAACGGTGGGACGTGCGTTGATTTAGTCAACTCGTTCCAGTGTATCTGCAGGGAGGGATGGACCGGGGATTTGTGCGATCAAGGTAAGTTTTGGCCGAATTTGATCTTCTGATCATATCTTTGGTCTCGTTACTTTTGATCTAAAGAAGTTCGTAGCGAGAGATAAAATTGTTGACCGTCTTTCAGACGTGGACGAGTGCACCAACTCACCCTGTCGCAACAACGGCACCTGCGTGGACGGCGTGGCCGATTTCACCTGCATCTGTCGGGGCGGTTGGAAGGGCAAAACGTGTACCCTCCGAGCGGGTCATTGCGAACCAGGTACCTGTCGTCACGGAGGAACCTGTCAAGATCGTGGCGACGGATTCACATGTCACTGTCCTCCAGGTTGGGAGGGCGCCGCCTGCCACATAGCGTCACCGGCGTGCGCGAGCAATCCTTGCGAGAACGGGGCGACCTGCGTGAACACCGCTGACGGGAACTACAGGTGCGTCTGCCGAGAGGGCTTCGAGGGGCCGAACTGTCGTCGGGACGTCGACGACTGCCAACCCTTACCTTGTCTGAACGGCGGCAAGTGCGTCGACGGAATCAACTGGTTCAGATGCGAGTGCGCGCCAGGCTTCACGGGGCCGG